AAAAAAAAAAAAAAAAAAAAAAAGAAAAGGAAGGTCTCCTTTCTTGGTTAGAGAGACTGTTGTGTAATTAATTAGTTGTGTCTTGGCTGCAAGGAAAGAGGGTCAGAGTTACACTCAGAAGATATTGACATTTAAAGGTGATGAATGCAGCAGGGATAGAACCATGGAGGATTGGGAAGGTGTGACAAACTGGCACCAGGGTGTTGGAGGGAGGACAGCGTTGGTAAGCCTAAGGCTGGGGGAACCCTCCCGCTTACTTTCACAGAAGACCGCAGGAGAAATTAATCTTCAATATCTTTATATCATGGGTGATTGGCACATTCCTGCAACCCCAGTAAGAAGCAATACATGAAGCTGGAAATTGCAAATTCCTGCCACTCAAGGTACTATTTGGGGATCTTAAGCCCACAGCAGACATTGCTAATAAAGCACAAGCACTCTTTTTTATGGAATTCTAAGTGTTTTGAACTTTTTCTCAATACAGCACTCGAGGTAGCCACTACCAGTCAGTTGGAGTTGGTATTCAAGGTGGAGTCTGGCTGCCATCTCTGTCCTGTTTCCTGTATGTAGTGAGTTCAGGTACTTAATACCTAACTGAGGACCCTAGGTCTGCTGTTTGACATCATCTGGGGGCCAGATACCGTGGCTCAAACCTGTATGGTAGCACTTTAGGAGCCTGAGGCAGGAGGATCACTTGAGCCCAGAGGTTTAAGACCAGCCTGGGCAAGATGATGAGACCTCATTTCTACAAAAAAAAAATTTTTAAATTAGCTATGCATGGTGATGTGCACCTGTGGTCCCTGCTACTTGGGAGACTGAGGCAGGAGAATCACTTGAACCTGGGAAGTTGAGGCTGCAGTGAGCCGTGATTGCACCACTATACCCCAGCCTGGGTAACAGAGTAAGGCCCTGTCTCAAGGAAAAAATCATCTGGCCCATCCTGTTACTTAACAGAGAAGGTACCTGAGGCTCAAAGAGGATGAGTGACAGTCTTAGTGGCAGAATGGGGTGGGGGCTAGAACCCAGAACTTTTGATTCCTAGGCCAGGACTCTTTTAATCGCCACATTGGCTGGGCACAGTGGCTCACGCCTTTAATCCCAGCACTTTGGGAGGCCGAGGTGGGTGGATCACCTCAGGTCAGGAGTTCAAGACCAGCCTGGCCAATTTGGCGAGCCACTGTCTCTACTAGAAATACAAAAATTAGCTGGGCGTGCTAGCACAGGCCTGTAATCCCAACTATTTGGAAGGCTGAGGAGGGAAGATCGCTTGAGCCCAGGAGGTGGAGTTTGCAATGAGCTGAGATTGTGCCACTGCACTTCCAACCTGGGCAATAGAGACTCTGTTTCAAAAAAGAGAAAAGAAAAGAAATCCCCATGTTTTCTTTAATTTCCAATCTATACAGTTCTATTCCTGCTAGGGCTCTAACTCCTCCAGCTGAAGGCGCCATAGCTCTCACTCAAGGAGCTGCTGTGGCCATGGGAAGGTGTTCCATTCACTGCTACTTCAGACCACCACGTGACATTCCTGCAGGCTGTGCCCCTCATAGCTGGCTTCATCCTTTGGATCCTCCTAGACCTGCCTGCTGCCACTGCACTCTCTCTTCCGGCCACACCACACTGTGCTGTTCCCTGATAGGACTTGGACTAGGCTGGCTCTCCTACCCAAGTGCCTTTTGCTCCCTTTGCTAATGTGTCTGTTTCTGCCCAGCTCCCACTGTGTCTGGTGCACACCCACCATGACATCCTTTTTTATACCCCAGCTGTGGTCTAGATAGATATTTGCAGTAACTCCCGTGTATTATTTATTCACTTGTACTTTTTTTTTTCACTTGTTGCCTATAGGCTCTGACTTTTTGTCAGTTTTTCTGTATTATGGAAGCTCACTAATTATTAAATAGGTGAACGATTTTTTTTTTCTTTTTGAGACGGAGTTTCGCTCTTGTTACCCAGGCTGGAGTGCAATGGCGCGATCTCGGCTCACCGCAACCTCCGTCTCCTGGGTTCAGGCAATTCTCCTGCCTCAGCCTCCTGAGTAGCTGGGATTACAGGCACGCGCCACCATGCCCAGCTAATTTTTTGTAGTTTTAGTAGAGACGGGGTTTCACCATGTT